TCAGAGTAAAGGGTTGGGAAAAGATTTTCCAATCAAATGGACCTAAGAAATAAGTTGATGTATCTACCCTAATATCTAACAAATTAGACTTCAAACTAAAATTAATCAAAAGAGATGAAGAAGAGTATTTTATATCCATCACAGGAAAAGTCCATTAATATGAAGTCTAAATTCTGAACATCTAAGTACCTCATACAAAGGCGCCAACATTCATAAAAGAAACATATGAAAATGGATCAACATAAAAAAAATCCATCAATGTAGTCCACCATGTAAACAAACTGAAAAAAGAAAATCCACATTATCATCTCACTAGACGATAAAAAAGCCTTCAACAAAATCCAAATCCCTTTCATGATAAAGGTCTTGGAGAGATCAGGGATAACAAGGACATATCTAAACATGATAAAGGAAATCCAACAACCAACGTCAAACTATATGGAGAGAAACTCAAAGAGATTTCTCTAAAATCAGCAACAAGACAAGGTTGTTCACTCTTTCATATCTCTTCAACATTGTATTTGAAGTTCTAGCTAGAGCAATAAGATGACAAAAGGAGCTCAAGGGTTTACAGATTGCAAAGGAAGAAGACAAACTTTCACTATTTGCAGGTTATATGATAGTTTACATAAGTGACCCAAATTCTACCAGGGAAATCCTACAGCTGATGAACACCTTCAACAAAGTGGCAGGATACAAGATTAATTAAAAAAAATCACTAGCCCTACTATATAAAGATAATAAAGGGGCTGAGAAAGAAATCAGAGAAACATCACACTATACAATAACCACAAACAACATAACCAAACTATAACCAAACTATAACCAAACAGGTGAAAGACGTGTAAGACAAGAACTTCTTTGAGTCATTAAAGAAAGAAGTAAGATACCAGAAAAATGGACAGATCTCCCATGCTCTTGAATAGGTAAGATCAACATAGTAAAAATGGCAATCATACTGAAAGCAATCTACAACAAAATCCCAGCAAAATTCTTCACACACCTTCAAAGGACAATACTCAAGTTTATATGGAAAAACAAAAAAAACAGGATAGCCAAAACAAACCTATTGCTTTTTGGTTTTTGGTAATGTGGGATTACCTATTGCCTATGTTTTTGTGAGTGTAGTTAATTTCCTTGGGTTGGGGTTTTCCATCCTGTACTTTCTGTAGGGCTGGATTAGTGGATGTGTTTTGTTAAAATCTGTTTTTGTCATGGAATATCTTGTTTTCTCCATCTATAGTGATTGAAAGATTTGCTGGGTATAGTAGTCTGTGTTGGCATCTGTGGTCCCATAGTGTTTGTAGAACTTCTGTCCAGGACCCTCTGGCCTACAGAATTTCCATGGGGAAGTCAGGTGTAATTCTGATAGGTATGCCTTTAAATACTATTTGCCCTTCTTCCTTTGCTGCTTGTAATATTCTTTCTTTATTCTGTAAGTTTGGTGTTTGGTTATTATGTGGTGAGGGGACTTTTTTGTGGTCTTGTCTATTTGGTGTACTTTCATTGGCATGTCTTTCTTTAGGTTTGGAAATTGTCTTCTAGGATTTTGTTGAATATGCTTTCTGTACCCTTGAGCTGGACTTCTTCACCTTCTTTTATACCTATTATTCTTAGGTTTGGTCTTGTCATAGTGTCCCATATTTCCTGGATATTTTGTGTTAGGGATTTGTTAAACTTAAGATTTTCTTTTGTCAATGACTATATTTCCTCTAGTGAATTCTTAACACCAGCTCTTGTATTCTGTTGGTTATGCTTACATCTACAATTCCTGATTGTTTGCCCACCTTTTCATATATATATATATATATATATATATATATATATATATATATATGATTTTTTCTCATTTTTACATATCGATCCCAGTTCCCTCTCCCTCTCTCCCCTACCCCCTTCCATCCCATCCCCCCACTCCTCAGGGAGGGTGATGCCTTCCAGGAGGGATCAACAAAATCTGTCAAGTTATTTGGAGTAGTAGGGTCTAGGCCCTCCCTTCTGTCTCTAGGCTAAGGGAGTATCCCTCCATGGGAATGTGCCCCCAGAGACATTTTGTGCACCAGGGATACATCATGGTTCCACTGTCAGAGCTCCCTTAGACTTCTCAGGCCTTCTAACTGAGACCCATGTTCAGGGGGGTCTGAGTCGGTCCAATGCTCGTTTCCCAGCTATCAGTCTTGGGGTCCATTAGCTCCCCCTTTTTCTGGTCATCTTTCAATGGGGTTTCTGTAACCTGGTCTTGACCCCATTTTTTTTTTATCACTCCTCCCTCTCTGCAACTTTTACCCAGCTCTTCTATTTCTAGTATTCCCTTAGACTGTGTTTTCTTTATTGTGTCTTTCAGCTTTCAAGCGTTGAACTGAATTGTTTCCTTCACTTGTTTGCTTATTTTTTCTTGGCTTTCTTTGTGAAAATTGCTTATTGCTTGAATTTTTTGGTTTGTGTTCTCCTCCATCTCCTGTAATTTTTGTTTTTTCTTCCTTTTCTTTAAGGGTTTTTCTCATGTCCTCCTTGTGGGTCTCTATCATCTTCATAAAGTTGTGTTGTAGGTCCTTCTCTTCTGCTTCCTCTGTGTTGGAATGCTCAGGTCTTGCTGTTGTTGAAGCCCCACCCTCTCTGGTAGTGTCGTATTGCTTTTCCTTTGTTGGATGTACTCTTGTATTGTCGTCTTCCCATCGCTTCTTCCAGTGGGTGCAGGTGGAGTCTCTCTCTGTTCTTTCCTCTTCTGGTGGGTGTTCATGGGCCAAGAATTTGATGTTGGCAGACTCTGGATGATGATCTGGTCTCTCCTGGTGTTCTCCCAGAGTGTGTGTGGCAAGACTCTCCTGGTGCTCTGCTGGTGCTTGTAGGTGGGCCAAGACTGCAATGTGGGCAGACATTGAATTGGAGACACAGGAATTAGCACTTAATTGTGTAGGAATAGCACAGTTTGCACAAATACTATGTGAACTACTGTATAGTTGGTGTAGGGTGGCAGAAATGATATCATATAATCAGGAGAGACATCCTGGTTTTGTGTAGAGTTGCTTCAGTGACCTTCCGCATTAAAAGGTGACACCATCTGATACAGGCTACAACAGATAGTATGTACCCATGACTATCTTATATGGTATTTTGAGAATAAAAGTACATCAATAATACCAATTTATACAGCTCTATAAATTTATGGAAGTAGCTGATTGTATCAGTAGAAAATTATATTTTATTCATGGTGCTTCTGATCTATAAATATCAGCCTAATAAAACATGAATTGGCCAAAATCTTTCTGAATGTCATAAAGACTTTTAGATTATCACAAGTGATGTGAGGTATTGGACTTGGAGCATGGCCATATGGTCTGATAGTCATGTTCTGAGGAGCCCAACCCTACAGGTAAGAGCTAGCAGGATGCTATTTGAGGATTTTACTGCATATGCTTCTGTTTGTGTACATTAAGAGCCACCCGCTTCACTACTGGATTCCCCTGATTTCTCTGACAGTAAAATATTGTGTGTACCCTTCCCCAAATGTAACTATCATGACGAACTAGAAGCCAGGTTCTTGGAAGGGGAGTTGTACTGGCCATTGGAAAATTAAATTCTGGACCTTTCAACCCAAGTTTAATTTCTCCAAGGTGGAACTTCATAAAATAGGACTTGGGTGTTAAGCGCCCACCAGGCAGCCTAAAACCACTCACCCTCACACGGGTGACTGAAACATATAAACTCTGCCCATACAGCACACCTTCTTTCAAAGGGAAAGCTTGCCAGCCTTTAATAGCATGAGGCAGACAGAGAATGCAGAGGTGGAGTCATGACTATCATGACTATGATGTTCATGTCTGTTTTGATGGATCAGAGAATGGTGCTGAGCAGGAGATGAAGTCATGAATCAGTGCCTAACTTTCACTGAAGCTGTATGTGTCTGGTATATTTGAAAGCACATGATAGACGTATTAATACCATCACTCTCATTATCCCTTGCCATTTACTTTCAGCTTTATGTTTAAATTCATTTGTACGATCAAAAGTGACTCATGGTCAGTTTCTTTCAGGATGTTGGCTCATGTTTAATATGTTATAAAGAGTGAGATTACACCCATAAAATAAATGGATATGGGATCTGACTGTACTAGTCAGGCATGAGCTTCTTTATGGTTTTTTTCAAAAGCCCTGGAGATAATCTAGATTTTTGTTTTCTTCCACAAGTTACTATATATATTGTGGCCTGCCAGCTTCTACTTTTAAATTATTGTTAATGCAGTGGATATTTTGCAGACACTTTATATGTTATGAAGTAATATAAATACAACTGAAATGAGATAAATCTGAAAGATATAATCTGTTTACCTTATGATAAGTGCCAAATAAAAATAAGAGATGCAAAAGAAGAGCTGTGTAGGTTGAAATTGTTGCAGAGTTTTACTTGTCCATCTATTTGTTTGCTTATTTACTTATTTATTTTTGGGAGGAGGCCACATTTGTTGTGGCCTTGCTTGGATGAGGAAGATTTTTTAAGATAGGTTTATTCTTGCTATCTTGCCAAGGCATGTGTTTGTCATAATCTTAACATTCCTGGTGGCATTAAAGAGTTCAATTTTATATTACTTATATTATGTCAAAATCATAAATAAGTCAAAGAATACAACATGTTGAATATATTATTTGTTTAGATAGCAACTAATGATTATTTTTACATATGTGAGCCTTTCCACTTACAGTGAAGAATCTGCCTCTTCCCTGTTGCTTTAAATGTTTTAGCTACAAAGAAACTGTGATGGATATCAGAAAAATATTTACACTCAGATCAAAAGCATCAGTCAATTTACAAGAAGTAGATCAAGAAGGAAGCATGATAAACAAGGCACACTAACATCCTTGCATTTTTATCTGCGTAAACTGGGTGTCTTACTTGGATGTACTGGCACTCTGTTGTTGGAATTGGATGGGGGGGCACCTATGCTGGAATGCAGAGATACCTGTGACTTATTCAATTTATTCCTTGTTTCACTGTTTTTCAGCTTTATAGCTCCATGGACTTTGGAAGACGATGGCAACTCGTGCATGAGCGCATCACACCCAACAGATTTTACTGGTAAGTGTCTTTTGTACATTCAGCATCCTTTGGATACGAAAAAGAATGAGAGAGCAGAGTGGTCCAAGCAATCCTGACCACCTTGTACTCTGGAGGTCAAATACTTTTGCTGTGCTAGAGGGTTTATGGACCAGCACCATTAACTTGTTAGAAGTGCAGGGTCTGAGGCCACGTCAGGATTCATGGGATCTGGGCACAATGTTTTGGCAGTTCTTGTGTATATTGACTTTGAAAAGCCCTGAGCTAGGGAAAACTCATGACCAGGTGCTCTTGGTCAGACATTAAGCTCTCCTCATCTTGGAAATGTACATATTTTATGGACCTATGCTGCAATCAGTGTTTCCCACAGATGTCCTGTAAAAACACAATATTCTTATCTAATTCATCTCTTTTCATAGGAATTTCTATGGTCAAGTTAGTTTAGGTCACAATATTCCAGTGTTATACTCCCAGACTTGTGTCCAATGCTGTGGTCCCAGACTTGTGTCCAATGCTATGGTCCCATACTTGTGACCCTTGTTAGGATAAGGAAGACTGAAGGAACTCCTATTGAATCATCATGCCAACCTGAAACCAGTATAGTCTGTTACTTATGTCACCACTGATAAATACTTTAGCACTCTCTCCATAGGACATATGTTGTAAATTGTTTCTGTAAGTTCATGTTTTGAACAGAAAATTGGCCCCTCCTTCTAATAAGAAAGTGTTTCTATTAGCTGATGTTCGTTTAATCATGCGTACTATTTTACCATATTAAAGCAAATTCATTATTCATTTGTCTTATACCCTTCTCTATAATTGTGAGATTCTTCAATCTTGCTTATTTCAGCAGAAACAATAGATAAAGAAATAGGAATGAGAAAGCCTAGTGCACCATATAAAATGATGAAATCATATGCTTAATTAAAAAATAAAAACAAAATTAAAGCAATTGAAAGTCCTACTTATTCCCAACTTATTTGAAAAATCTTACTCCAGTTTCCTTACAACATCTGTATAAATTGAAGATTATGATGATAGTGCTGACAACCATCTTGGACACATAAAGTGTCACATTAAAAACCCTGCATACAACCAGCTCCCTTTGTATACAAACTGTGTCTAGAATTAAAAATAATTTCCCATGCATATGATAGCAATCCACCAAGTCCAACTTTGCACAGTTCAGTAGAGCTAGAAGAGAAAATTGAATTGCTCTTTACTCAACACTTCATCTGCCCTTACTATTTTTGCCTCTTGCAAACCAAGTATTATTTCATCTGTAACTCTTACTATCCCTATTATTTGGTCTATTTTTGGAACTATTAATTTTTTCAAGTAGTCTAAGACGGAAAAAGGAAATATTTGTTCCTCTGATACTCTAGCAGTATAGTATACCTTTTGTGCATCTGAAATGGACCAATTTCTCAGAATACCATTAGCCAAGAAAAGAGAAAAATAAAATTTCTCTGCTGTTTTTGGAATGAACTTGGGATGGTGAGCCCATTGGCCAAGGAGGGAGAGAACAGAGAAAATAGCCTGATCCATGGCATCATTGCAGGATGAAAGTGATTGGACAGAGAGCAGCATTTTCCTTTCTTTTGGAAAGAGCCAGATGGGAATATTCCAGCTGCTGCCCCTCCACTCCTTTCTTTTGTAGAGCAGATTGAATAAATCCCAAGGTCCTGATAATTGCATTTCATCTCTTCTCCACTCTAAGCTTGTTTCATATGTGTCCCCATGGGAAAAAATAAAAGTTAGTACCCGTGTGAGCTAGCCAAGTGTTAGCGGAGCATTTCGTTTTTGTAATTACCACTTTTCTTTCTGATGGGCAATTGCTGTGATTATTCTTTTAGGTTTCCTAGGAGTCATGGAGGAAGAGCTCGTAGTTTTCTGTCTGTTTTTTCATCAAAGACAGAATCCAAGATTATCTATGGCTTTTAAGCACTTGTATTGAAGGTACACAGTTGGTGCTTATAGCTAGGAGATGTGCCTTCTGCTTCATTGAGAAAATTCAAAGTATTTCTCTGGATGAAAAGCAAACTTTGGTGTAGACAAAGTTTCTGATCTATGTGTTCCCACAGACATTAAGCCCCAAATAAACATGCCGAGACTTATATTAATTATAAACTGTTTGGCTGATGACTCAGGCTTCTTATTGGCTAGCTCTTTCTCAATTATTAACTCATTGCTATTAATCTGCATGTTTCCACAAGGTCTTGGCTTACTGGAGAGTGCCTGGACATCCTATCTTCCCAGTAGCTACATTGTATCTCCCTTCCTGCTTTTCTCTGCATCCTCTCTCCAGAATTATCCTCGTCTAGTAGCCCTGTCAATACTCCCTGCCTGCCTACTGGCCAATCAACATTTTACTCATCAACCAATAAGAGAAACATATATAGAAGGTCATCCCCTATCACTTTGGCCTTCATGTACTTTATTTAATCTGTTTTTCCACATGCATGTATTTGGAAGAATGTTTCTCTTACTGTTGCATAAGGCCATCGAAAGGGCAAGATTTGAACATGGGACACATTGTGCTTTGATATTTAATTTGTGGACTAGATGTCTGTAAATACTTTGTACTTAAGACTAGTAAGTATTTTAAGTGTTGTTTTGTAATCAACCTTTAGATGATGGAAGTCTTTCATTGTTTTACTAGTGCATAAATATGAATTCCATATATGATGGGGCTGTGTGCTCACGGGCATTTGATAACAGCTCAGTAGTTCTATTTACTGCCCAGTATCCTTATGACAAGCCCCATATTATTTTCACCACTCTTCATTAACATTCTTATGATGTGATACAAATAAAACTGAACATGGAAATGTTCTAAAGCTGCTTTAGGAGAGAGGCTTCCAGGTGCAGTATTGAAGATGGTAAGCCACACTGGTGGGTAAAGACATAGAAGGCAGATATTGAAATAAAAGTCGAGGAGACTTTTATTCTGTAGCTTTTAGACATAGGGTGATTGCATAATACATAAGAAACATTCCCCAAATATTGTTATTTATAATTTGGACATTTCTGTATATTTGAGGGGTGGATATTAATGAATGTCAGCTTTACCTATACCACCTTCAATTGATAAAGCTTAGAGAGAAATTTGGAAGCAGGGGAAGCACGTTGAGCTCCAGAGGTGATTTCTACAAAAAGTGCTACACAAAGCAAGTGCTTTGTGAATTCCCACATTAGCTGAGCCCTCAGTGCTATTGGGATAGGGCACAGCATGATTCATAATATATATTAGCAGCCATTATAAAACTTCCATATTGAAAATAGATTATCTAACCTTATCAAAAGAGGTCTCCTGGGAAACTTGAGGTAGGATGTCCTGGCCATCAATCATGCTTCAGGAAGGGAGGCAACTGACTCAAAGCTCCTAGTTTGCTGGACATTACTTCATTCACTTGATGCTGGGTCATTGGGTACTCTACCTGGGTGCTCCAGGAATGGGAATTTGTAAGAGCGCATGGTAAATATCTTAATGCTTCCTCACCACTCTTAGTCTCTGTGTGAGCTGTTACAGTCAAGTGCAAAGTTTGCCTTTTCCTGTTGTATAATTCCACTGGGTTGTGAGTGATTCCTAGCGATGACACTGAACAAGTAGGCACATTGTGAAGTAGGAAAATTGTTTTGTTTTGTTTTCTACGCATGCAGTTGGCAATAGACGTGGCTCACAGCTTTGTCTTTCTACGCCCTGTATTTTTATCTGGGCATTCATGCTCCATGGGCATACTTTTCAGTGAGATCCCCCAAGTACTGCCAGCTTTCTCATGTTCCCTGTATATCTGGACTGGCCTCCTAGTACCTCCAATTTCCAATAGGACCTCTATGTATCATCTTGTGGAATTATAAAAGAATATCTCCAGTGTGTCCTCCGTGCATCTCCCTTTGTTATGTTGTCTCCAGAATGGCCAGATGTTGTTTGGTGTCACTGTAAGAAAAAAATTCTGACAAGTAATTATACCCTGAGGTGACAGGGGCTTCTACTCTGCTACATTTTTCTAAGGGTATTTGGACCGTAACATGGGACTGGTCTTGAGAATTTTAATATTTTAAGGTGTCAGCTGATATAGACATTCTAGGTAATATATGTCATGGGATGGAGAGAAAGGGCATCTCAGAGATTACTCTTAGGTCTGTTCTCATGCCTGGCTCAAGGGTTACTAGCATGTGAGGAGAGTTGTGCTGGGATACATGTCTATAGTATGTTGCGTATCATCCTATACTTCCTCTTATCTCTTTCTGAAAGGCATCTTGGGACAGTGTGAAGAACAGGAAAGCAAAACAGGCTTTAGTGAAGAGTGAAGTATTCTTTAAGGGTGGACGCAGTGGTATGGAAAAATATATTTCCAGAATTTTAAAGCTGGCCATTCAAACCTTACTGCAATCACATGGCTTTTATTTGTGTTTGGTTGTTTTTGTTTTCTTTATATTCCAACCCATGTCATGTAACAATTTGAGCTGATTTTCAGCTAATTCCTTCCTCCTTGTGGCACACAGTCTCCAGTATGCCTCCATGCAATGATTGCTGCCTTCTGGTATGCTGTCCTCCCCTATCCCTCCTATTCACAATGCAGGCTAGATTTAGTGGCTTTCCAGTGAACAGAATGTGGTGTAGGTGATGAGACTTCTCCATGGAGATTAGATTATAAGAAGACAGTGAGTTTCATCTTGGGTATATCCTCATGTTAACTTGCTCAGAGCAAGCCATGATGATTTTATGTACTCTGAGGAGGGCTATATGCCAAGGAACTGAGGGATGTTCCCCAGTTAGTTAGCAGCCAGGCTGTCAACTGAAATAGTTTAGTGCTAGATAGAAACTGAATGGTACTCTTACATCTGAGGATGAGCTTGAGAGCCGAGCCTTCATATGAGACAGAAATCCTGGCTAATACTTTGAGAGAAACCCATGAGAGCCACTTTGATGAGAGGCACTTTATGCATGTTTTCCCCAGTCACAATTGGCTTTTTTTTTTTTTTTTTTTTTAAGTTTTTATATTGATTTTAGACCC